GCTAAGGCGTTTGCTTTCTGAGTCTCCAGCCGCCCAAACACCTTCCTGTTCCACTGCTTCAAATTGGACTTCAGGAGCTTCAACTTCTGAGCAAGGCGGGAACTAGGATCTCCAAGCACGTTATAACTGCTCCACCACCGTCAGACTTTCTTGCCAAACCCTTTTGCCTCAAGCCACATTTTCTCAAATCAAAACGGCGTCGGATCACTTCTAATCCCTTCACTATCCAATAAAACTGGCCGGTGATCTGAAACAAGCCGATGCATCCTCGATTGTGTCACCTATGAGAAATGCTCCTCCCAATCTCCAGTAACCAAGAATCTATCTATATGGGACATTGCCCTTCCCCTAGACCAAGTATAACCATCCCACTGTAACGGTAAATCCACCAAATCCAACTCATCAACAAACGAAGAGAAAGTCTCTATGGAGCCTAAAACTGATGTAGCCCCCTTCTTCTCCGCCATACAGTGAACTGCATTAAAATCACCCCCTACACACCAATAAACCCCCCTATCGAAAAGCAACACATTGCAACTCCAAAAAACTAGCCCGTTCCACCCCCCTTACAGGCCCATATACCTCGATGAAGGCCCGACGGTAATCATCCGCAACACTACGAAACAAACAAGATATCGAAAAAGCCCCCATCTCCTCATCCTCCTCTTCTACCACCCGCCGATCCTAGCAGAGAAGAACACCCGTAGCCACTCCCACCGCCTGCAAGAAAGTTCAATCCATGAAATGCCCCTTCCCCCCATAGCTCCCTGACAGTCTCGCCCCCAATGCACTCCAACTTTGTTTCTTGAATACACACCACATCCGCCTTAATACTTCTCAATAGAGCTTGAACCAAAACCCTCTTCTCCCTATCATTCAAACCACGCACATTCCATGATAAGATTTTTAACCGCATGGCAACAACAATTGATCTCCTTGAATCTTTCTGACACCACAACTGTCCCATCCTTTGTGCCGATCATAATTTATTGAACACTCTAATTTACGCAGCTCCCTAGAATTCTTTATTTTTTGTCCTCCCGATGGCATCTCCGTCTTCAATGGAGCACCCCCTCTCCAAGATTCCTCTATGGCCGAAAATAGATTTAGAGCCTCATTTTCATAACCCTCAAAGGAAACACCCAAGAGTTGACTAACCTCATTGATGCGAGATAACACCCAGGCTGAGACCTCCTCAAGCTACGGAAGAACATCACCCTGAAAATCCACCTCTATCTCAAGGTCATCAAATTCATCCCCAGCATACACTGTATCTGTCTCAATAATCTCTACCTCTGGCCGAACCACCAGTGCCAACTCCTTTGTCAAACATGCCTAACAAGTTGTCGTCCACTTCTATTGCGGTATCCTTCTCTCGACAATCCGGCACCTCCAGAAGGTGCTTGCCCACTGTCGGCGACCCATATCGCGGCAAACCCCCCAAATCAGTAGTGTCGTTGGCTTGTCAGAGATCAGACGAAGACCACCCTGCACACCCCGCCAGTTCTCGCATTGCCGACGTGGATCTTACCCCTCGATCAATCGACTGTCGAAGCCCAGACCCGTCGTTCCGCACCACTGACACAAAAGGGTCCGCTGAGCTGTTATGGTTCTTGTCGGAATGACTAGACCCACTGCTTGACCCACCAACCTGGCCTAGATGGCCCAAAACATTAAGCCCACTGTTCACCACTTTATTTCCTTTTGTGATAGCCCAACATTGTTGACCCACATTTTGGCGCACAACAGTTTGGGCCAATGGTTGGCCAGAAAACCAGCAGTCTCCCAACTAGGCCCCTCTCGGGTTGGCTTGCCCTCACCCTTAAATTCTTGCCCAAATCTTTGAAGATAATCACTCACCCTCAATTTTCGCACTATCCCCCTGATATCACCTCAAATCACGGGGTCCCAAACCAGACCCGTCGCCCTCATGCAACTCTACCGACAACACCACACACTCCACCGACGACTTGACCTCCACCCACACTGGTAGAGTGAACTGCCACGATCTCCACCGAACCAAAATTTGTGGTGTTGTAGATGCAGAGCTCCATACTCGTAGCCAAATACAACCTAGATCAGTCGTTGACTCGTCAACTGCCACAAAGCCACCACATCGGTCGCCAATATCACGGTACACCTTTTTGCCGCGAAGATGTACAGGTAGGCCCATCGCATGAAGCTAGACACTCTTCTCCGAAGCCGGCGTTTGACTAAAAGCACGAAGAGCCAAAGGCGACCACCACTCCAAATTCAAATCGCTCCCCTCAACAGTCCACCATTGCCTCATCAGAGTCTTTGCCTCACGCCTCGTTGAGAGCACAAACAAGAAAGCCTGGTTCCCTAACGATTGTACCTCCACCTTGCCTAAAGACTTCCACCTCCGATTGACCCATGCACACATAGCCCTCAAACCCACTCGTCCCTCCACCGTACCCACCAAAGATCTATCCAGCAACCGAAACCACCCCACTTTCGTATAAGGTTTCGCGAAGTCCTCGTCAGAAACGACCTTACCAAGTGGAGCTTCCAACTGTGCCTCCTTCACCATCGCTATCTTGCCCTTCAAACCAGCAGATCATTTCACCCATCCATCCCCCATTTTGAAGCCCTCCAGAACCAAGGCCAATCCCTCGCAACCATCCCCATAAGCTGACATAGGAAGGAAGACTTGCTCCCTTCGGACCCCCACAGTCACGACTATTTGGACAGAAGACCCTTCTCCGGCCTCCCCACGAACCCACACTGCTAAGCTCCGTCTACCTCCACTAAGGTGACCCAGATACTTCAAATGACCTGGTTCTTGCGATGCCATCCTTAGTTTCGTCACAATCCAACATATTTCAAAACTAACTAGAACAACAGCCCAATAGAGCCCCTGTCCTCCCTCCACAATCAACAGGCTTCAGCAGCCTATGGAATCCACCGACGACTCCTCTAACTCGAACGTGTGACCACTGAGGAAGAGGATCCGCTAGCGCAAGCCGGTTTCTCTCGCCGCACGAAACATCAGGTGAAACCTTAAAGCCTAGAACTTGCTATCTTCATCATAGTGGATAGCAATTGAATCATAAGGTTCACTCAATTTAATATTCAACTGTACAATTGAATTGTTTTTCTTGAAGCTTGTATCGAACCGTATGACAATCATGAATTGTAAGATTCTAACTACCATGGCTCCCGGTTAATCAGCATTCCAGGGAAAATAAAAGAGATTTTTTGCCCCTTTATCACCACCCTCCAAATAGTGTTTGTTGTTTGTCATATAACTTTCCTTGTGAGTGCTTTCATTATTATACTATTAACTAGTGATTTATTACCTAAGCCCTCTTCTTTTTTGGAAGAGAGGCAGTTTGCCGATCTACCTAGTGATGTGACTTGATTGATCTTATATTTGGCGGAAATTCCCCTGCATTCTTCTGACCTTGTAGTATACACACATTACTTTTGTAAACAAAGGGTGTAAAGCACCTTTGGTTCTTCAAATAGGTTTTTGAAGCATACTTGATATCAGTTTTCTCTTGTATATTGCACCACGTTGGTGCCTCTTTATTAAAATATTTTGCTTACCAAGAGAAATCAAAGGCTAAGTGACTTGTGGAGATCAGACAAAAAAATATTTCTGCTAAGCTACTTTTCCCTGTTGGGATATGTATAAATTCTTCTAGGATTGCAATTCCTTGACAATAGTCCCACCTTTACCTTTACAAGGGAGTGTGTGTAATCTTATTTTCCAGTGAATGTGTGATTGTGGAGTTTAAAAAGAACAAGGTATTTTTGGAGGGAAGCCAAACGTGTAAATTATTCTTTTATTTTTCTGTTTCAAATGACATAAAATGATGTTTACATGCACTAGAAAGAAGTAACCATGAGACTTAACATATGTGGATTATTAACGCAATTTCTAACTTCTTCCGGTTGAAGTGTTACTCTGGAAAGGTATCTTTCCAGTCTTCATGGTGAGCATGCCGTACAAATTCTAACTTCTTCCTCCCCACATCCTTCAGATAGATCATATGTGTTCCACCTGACTATTGGATTTTCTGAGACCATTGTTCTGTGTTATCATAAGATGTGGGCACTTTGATAACCATCCTTTGATGCATTGGTAGAACCTCAAGATTATTCTATTCAATGAATCCACCCCAAATGATTTTTTGCCGTTATTGGGGCAAAATGAAAATTCCACCCTTTGTCACATGGTTTGTATTTGGACAGCTCCATCCTGGGGAAAAGGAATCTGACACATGGTCTGTATTTGGACTGCTCCACCCTTTGTCACTCCTGAAGTGCTGTTGTATTCTTTTGCTGAATCTGAGCCTAATGAGTGTGGTCTTGGTGGTCATTTGAAGTTTGTCGTCCATTTATAGATGTATGCTAAAGGGAAATGATATTTACACACCACTTTCACACTCCCCTTTTGGGAGGCTAAAAGACAAAAAAAAAAAAATTTGGAGTGTGGGTGGCTTAAAGTGGAGTGCAAATATTATTCCCCCAAAGCAAAATCCCCTTTTCAATTATCAAATGTGCACAATGTGCCATTGTAACATGCATTTATAATGACCGAGTGGTAAAGACTTGAGGATAAATCCAATGTCTCGAGTTCGAATCTCCTAAGGGGCCACTGGAGGTTTATCTAGCCGTTAACTTCAGGGCCTCTAGGGATTAGTTCTTGGCTGTCCAGATACGAGATAACTCAGACCAATTGGGCTGGGCTGGGTGGGACACCTGGATTATCAAAAAAAATATATATATAACAAACATATGGCTCAAGTTGCCCTTGATAATGAATGTTGGAACATGGTTTAATGGAGGCTAGAATAATTGCTATACCTTTGGGCTTGTGAAACGAAGGCAAGTGGTGCTAAATGACATAGAATTAGAAGCAGTTTATGGTTTTTAGTTTTTTTTGGTGCTAAATTGACACTCGCAAACCTAAAAGTAGGGTCTTAAATGTCTGGTAAGCAAAAAGAAATAACCAGCTTCTTGTGTTTTTGCAGGCTGATTATTTGATTGAGGAAGAATGTCAGTTTCTTCGTGTGACAATGGGGCATGAGAATGAGTCCCTTGATGAATTTGTTGAAGCACATAAAACATGTTTAAATGATATCATGTATTTCCCTACTCGTAATGGTTATGGTCTATCTAGTGTTGCCGGAAACATGGAGAAACTTGCTGCCTTGCAGAATGAATTTGAGAATGTAAAGAAAAGGATGGATGATGATACTAAGAAGGCACAACGCCTTGAGCAGAAGATAAAACTTCTTACTAATGGATATCAGGTATGCAGAGAAATTCTTGGTTGGCTTTTAATTAACAATATTAGTATTATTAGCTCTCTTTATGTTATAACTTAAAACATAATAGCAAATTTGCACGCATTGACATTTTCTTTTTGTATTTAAGTGGTATTTGTGTGTTACATCCACAGCTTTGCAGCACATTAATTTGTTCTCTCTCTCTCTCTCTGTGTGTTTTTCAAAGAGCTGTATGTTGTTTCTTTTGTTTTTTTTTTTTCCCCCATTCGTTGAAGTACTATTTTGCTTTTCATTTCTTTGTTCAGCAGACACATTAGGGTTTTAAGTTTGCACAATTTTCACAGGTGATTTAATAAAGTTTTGTTGCATGTTCTGACTACTGTAGGTTAAGTGAGTAGGTATCAAGTTTGATCGTATGCAATGAAGCTATTATAATTAACAAGCATGCCAAGGAAACTCTCTCTCTCTCTCTCATTACATCCAAGTGCACAGGGAAAAGCACACATGCGCACTCATACACACAAAATTAAATCAAATTAAATCCGTGTATTTTATACAAACAAATTTGAAATCCCTCTATAGCTGTGTCATAGCTGTTTGTTAGTTTGATTAAGATTCAAACTGTACTAGTTTCTAATTGATGGACATGGTGAATGATCAGATGCGAGCTGGAAAGCTTTGGTCACAAATCGAGGCAACCTTCAAGCAGACAGACACTGCGGGAACAGAACTTGAGTGCTTCCAAGCCTTACAAAAACAAGAGCAGCTAGCTGCATCGCACAGGATCAATGGCCTCTGGGAAGAAGTTCAAAAGCAGAAGGTGCTTGAGCAAACCTTGCAGAAACGCTATGGAGATCTTACATCAGAGCAAGAAAGAATCCAAAGCCTCATGGATGCTTACAGACTACAAGAAGAGGTTGCAGCAAAAAATCGTGCTCTTGAGCTGGCCAATGCTGCAACAAACGAAACTGTTCCAATCTCTAAAACTCCTGAGCCTGTTGTTGCCACAGATGAGCTTGGGAACTCAATGATGGTTGACCAATCTTGTGATGAAATTCGAAGCCAAGAAATGGATACTGATAAAATGCAAACTCATGCCACCCAAAAATGCTCCTTCATCTGACGACATGCCTGCCTACTGCCGAGTTTGCAAGAGCAGAAGGTAATAGCTATGAAGGTTCTGTTTCTGCCGATACTACTGGGCTTAACAGTGTGGATGAAAATCACTCTAGTGACGCTCCAGTTCAGAATTCTCCTGTCAAATTTGATTCTAACTCTGTCCTTGCTGATGGAGAAGATATTAAGATGGTTGATGACAACTCTGTCAATGCCACCGTTAGTGAGAATTTAGTTAGTGTAGAAGTTGCTGAGGAGGATTTAGTAACTAAGAGCCAGCAGAATGTCCTAGAAGACAAAACGGAGGATGATACTGTCCGAGAAACAGGTGAAGATGGCCGTCCTAATGAGAAGGATATGCAAGATTCTAGCAATGTGGAGGATGGTGTAAACTTGCAAGATGCATAAAAATCTTGATGTCAATAATCACAGTAACCTTTGGGAGCCCTGATGAAACCACCTTGTCTAAGTGTGCTTGCTTCTTGTTGACGTGCTGATTGAGGAGGCGGTTTGGAATTACCATTTATAATCTGTTGCACTCTGTTTATTTTTGCCAATTACGTAATACAAGAATGAGGAAGGACGCCTTCGCTGATCTGGTTTGGAGATACATTTCTTCACTTGTATTTCTGGAAAGAAAAGAGAAGAAACACCCCCCCCATGTGGATTAGACCCCAAATCGTGTTGTGTACGGTATAAATGTCATTCCATTGAGGAACTGTAATAGTATGTTCTTTTTTAAGGAGAACAGTGTTGAGTTACTATTTTCAATTTCATGAGATTAAAGTTCTGGATTGTATTTGTTGGTTTTCTAGTGGTACCAATTGGTGTTCTGGGTCGGTTGTGACTCATGTATTTGTTGGTTTTCTAGTGGTACCAATTGGTGTTCTGGGTCGGTTGTGACTCATGTGATTTCTCTTCATGTTTTCCATTCTATATGCTTAATGCCCTGGACAACGGTAGTAGTAGGTGTTCTTTCTGAATGGGTTTATTCTTGTTGGAGATTGTGACTAATATGCCAAAGGAATTAAGAGACTTGAAGTATTTACTGAGAAGCTCAATGCTTTGCCATTGCTGGTGGTGCATTGCTATCACTACCTCTTCTCTGTGAATTATATGTTTCTCTTTTTCAGTCTTGGTGTGATTCATTCTCTGTGGCTCTCTCTCACACACCCTAACACAGCCACCTCTACTCCCAACTGTGAAGTTTTTTAGGGAATTGTCCAAAATGCAGTGTGTGTAACTCACATTCCATAAGGATGAATTGGCACTATATTACCATGATGAATTTCATCATTGTATTTTTTGTATTTCTTTATTATGCAAAAATAAATAAAAAATTATGTTGTAGTATTATTGGTTCAAATTTCCATTTGTCTAGACTTTCACTCCCATAGTCTCTAATAGTGATAAATAAGAACCTCTCTAACAATGTTCTTTAATTTTTTAATTATTTTTGTATAATAAGGAGAATATCTTATTTTAAAAAAATAAGGAGTTATTTTTTTGAATTGAGAAATCTAACAATGCTAAATATAATTTGTAAGAAAGAAATTGAACACATTGAAGTGAGTTTTGAAGATTTTGGCTCTCTGCAACCAAGGTGGGAGAACAGAGAGACTCATAATTGGTTCAGTTTCACTACCTTTAGAAGGAGTTCATTATATGGCTTTTTATTGTTGATGGGTATAAATGTAAGATTTTAAAATTGACAAGAGTAAGTTGATATTTAGTGAGAGTTATGGGGGGTGAAGTAATTAACTCTAAAAATTATTGTCGCAGTGTCTATTAGGACATATAATTTATATGAAATGCTAAACACTACTTATTGAGCGTGATTGATGTTGATATATGTGTTAAAAATGTATTAAAAATATAAAAAATGTAGGGTAAATTACATTTACCTCCCCTGAGGTTTCTGACAAATACAGGGACCTCTCCTGTGGTTTGAATAATTACAGTAACACCCCCTACTTTACCTGACAATGTCAAGTTTCTCCCAAAAGTTGACAGCCGTTTAAACCCCTAACAGACCCTGCCTATGTCATCAAATGTAAACAAGAAAATGCCCATAATACCCTCAACCCATCTATATATAGCAAATGCTAGAGTCTCTCCAGCTTCACTTCAGTAAATCCAAGTGGAAGAGAAAAATTTAGAGAGGCAACCAAAACTAAAGAACAACAAAAAGAAGAAAGGGCCAAGCACAAACACAGGTATGTTCCCAGTCACATTAACTATTTAAAAAAAAAAAATTGCATCTGAAAATGCATTATAACTATGATCCATTATTGAGAAATGAAGCACAAACACAAGTATGTCCCATGAATATATGTCCTGAAAATGCATTATAACTATGATCCATTATTGAGAAATGAAGCACAAACACAAGTATGTCCCATGAATATATGTCCTGAAAATGCATTATAACTATGATCCATTATTGAGAAATGAAGCACAAACACAAGTATGTCCCATGAATATATGTCCTGAAAATGCATTATAACTATGATCCATTATTGAGAAATGAAGCACAAACACAAGTATGTCCCATGAATATATGTCCTGAAAATGCATTATAACTATGATCCATTATTGAGAAATGAAGCACAAACACAAGTATGTCCCATGAATATATGTCCTGAAAATGCATTATAACTATGATCCATTATTGAGAAATGAAGCACAAACACAAGTATGTCCCATGAATATATGTCCTGAAAATGCATTATAACTATGATCCATTATTGAGAAATGAAGCACAAACACAAGTATGTCCCATGAATATATGTCCTGAAAATGCATTATAACTATGATCCATTATTGAGAAATGAAGCACAAACACAAGTATGTCCCATGAATATATGTCCTGAAAATGTGAATTTTGTGATGTGTTTGATTTCCCTAATGGTTGCTCTAAAAATGTAATGGTAATGATTCACCTACTGTTTTGTAATGGCCCTGTAATGGCCCTTTTGTAATGGCCCTTATGTAAGGTTTTGTAATATTTGGTAATAGACGTTATGTTTGTAATGCAATATGTTTTGTAATGGACCATATATAAATATGATGAAGTTATTTCAGCATTATGTAAATATGCACATCTCATTTGAATAACATAATGACCTGTAAACATAATCTAAACAGCAAGTAAAACCATTCCATAAATATGCACCTGTTTAATTACATCATGATTGTTGTAAAATATGTTCAAGTAGTTTACTTACATCATTCCTATCAGATATGTTCAGTTACATCATCAGTTATAAAATACTTCATGGCCACATCATCATATTGCTATTCTTAGCATTGCATGTCCACTACAAAAATACAAAAAAGTGGAACATAATCCTCACTAACTATACAGTCAAGCAACATATATTTTATACCTTCAACCTATGTTAATCCTTGTACCCAAAATATCAACAACTTAGCTAAGTCATCTGCAAAAAAAGTCAAACAAACAAGCAAACAAATAAATTGATGTTGTCTGACCTGTGTCACAAACAAACAAATATCAACAACTTAGCTAATTTCATTGTAACTTCATAAGTAAGTTCATAACTAACATGATGTTGTGTGACCTGTGTCACACATTCAGCAGGCATTGGGGGGGTCCCTCTTGGAATATCCTAAATTGAAAACCCAAGTAAGGTAATAAATATGCATATCAATATCATAAATTGATAGAAAACAAATAAAAATCACAAATGAAAAGGCAAAACAAATACAAAAAACTTACTTGTGCATGGTTGGCCTTGCCCTTGCCTCTCACTTGTGCATGGTTGGCCTTGCCCTTGCCTCTCCCACTTGAACTTCCCTTCCCAGCTGAACTTCCTCTTGTAGTTGTATTTCCCCTCCCAGCTGAACTGTCCCTCCCACTTGAGTTGCCTCTACCACTTGCATTGCCCCTCTTAGCTGAACTACCTCTCTCACTTGAATTGTCTCTACCTCTGCCCCTACTCACAGATCTGCCACTGCCCCTACCAGCAGTTTTGGTACTGCCTCTACCACTGGATGTGCCATCAGTTTTGCCACTGCCTCTACCACTGGATGTGCCACTGCCCCTACCAGCAGCAGATGTTTCACCCCTGACTGGACCTCTTTGGCAAGTTCTCTTATTGTGTCCAAATTGCATGCACCATTTGCATCTCAATGTACTAGACCTTTTGGTCTGACTTGTTCCAGCTGGTGGCTCATGAGTAGCTCTCTTTCTTGAAGTCCTTGGCCTTCCTGGCAATCTTTTCAGTGGTGGGGGTTGTAAAGGGTCCCCAGGTATAAGTGTCCACATGCTATGGTGTAAGATGAAATGTATCATTCCACCGTTGGCTCTCAAGTAAGTTGCCTTAGAATAGTAGGGGTGGACAAAATCTTCTATGTTTAACCTACTGTGAGAAATTGCAGCCACAGCATGCTTGCATGGAAGACCAGATATTTCCCACTGTCTACATACACAAGTCATTGCCCCAATATGGACAATGTGATTAACCCCCTCATTATCCTTCACCTCATACTCATTGCCTCCTGCATACTCCACTGTGCAAGTCCTTGACCATTTCTGTGTGACCTCAAGCTGTTTCTTCACATTCAATGTGACATTAGATTTCCATTGCATTGCCTTTTGGTACCTCATCTGAAACTTACCCATCAACTTGCACCTTATGCCCTCTAACATAGTTAAAATTGGCTGAGTTCTCAAATTTCCTAACCAATTGTTGAAGGACTCTGTCATGTTATTTGTGATGTGATCACTTCTAATCCTACCATCAAATGCATGCCTAGACCTTCCTTCAACTGGAACCTTCTACAACCAAATGCAAGCATCATTGTTCAGGTCCTTAATGGCTTGCATAGCCTTATCATACTCCATCTGATTGTAAGCCCTTGCTGCTCTCCAAAATTGCTTCCTCAGAATTAAACCCGGAAATTTGGCTCTGAAATTGTTATATAGGTGCATGCAACATCTTCTATGAGTTGCCTCCGGTATAATGTCACTCACAATCTTATCAAGGCCCTGCATATAAAAACAATGAAACATTACTAAGCATTACAAGTTTAAAATTAGAGAATCATTTGTAATTATGTAAGTAAAGTAGTTGTTGAATATGTCAGTAAAGTACCTTTTGTTGATCAGACATGATGGTCCATGGTCTAGAAGGTAGTGCATCTTCTATGATTGTTCTCAAGTTGTGCAAGAAAAAAGACCAACTGGCCTTGCATTCACCCTCTACTATTGCCAATGCCAATGGAAACAAGCCATTATTTCCATCCAAGGCAACTGCTGAAATTAAAACACAACCATAGGGACCCTTCAAGTGACACCCATCTACCCCTATGAATGGCCTACATCCATTAATGAACCCTGCTTTCATTGCATCAAATGATATGAAAATTCTTTGGAACAATGGATATTGAGGAATGGTAGGGTCTGGTTGTTCTCCATCTTCTGAGACTGGGGTAGAGGGTATGTCATAATTTATGACAACCAAGCTGCTAGGGTTTGTTTTGTTGATTTGACTAGCATATGTTGGCAACAACACATATTGGCTCCCATGATCACCCTCCAGCTCCTCCTTGCACCTCCTTTTGGTTCTATACAGTTGCATTCTTGAAGCCTCAATCCCAAACATTTTATTCAGTTTCATTTGCATG